GTGTTCAACCAATCAGATCTTTAGTTTGACATGTTGGGCGTATTCTTTGACATGCCAGAGCCTGCTAGCTGGCCTACAAGTACGTGATTGGTCAGTGGGCTAGCCTGACATGTTGGGCGGTGACAATCCCAATATCTGCTGCCTCTGTGGAGCTGACATTTTCAGCCCTGAAACGCATTAAAACGTATTCAAGAAATAAAACTGGGGAGGCTCGACTGTCTTCACTCGCATCCATGAATCTAGAAGGACTTCTTACTGGAACTAAAATGCACAGATGTACTGAACAACCGTGGAATTAAACTCTTTGTTAACAAAGAAAGGAGGATGCACTTTGTCTTTAAATAGTGAACAGCAGCTCTGGTACGTTAAATGCGTTTGTTTTTACATCTGCAGTAGCTTTAAGATGCTTGTTTATATATTATTATTTGTACAACTTGTTTTTAATGAAGATTTTTGTTTGGTTTAATATGTGATTGGAACCATTGTTATGTCCAATGTTGCTCTGGGGACATATTTAGCCGCTGCCAGTGTTGGCAACTTGCCGACTTTCTCGCTAAATCTGGTGACTTTCAAAACCCTCATGGCGACTTTTTTTGTCAAAAGCTACTAGTGACAAATCTAGCGACTTGTTCTGGTGTTATTGGAGAATGTTCTTGTGTTTTGACGTTAAAGCACGTACGTTCTGCACTGTCGTGAACAAGCAGCGGGTGCTGCTGTGAGCCCCTCCGCCGGTGTTATGTCCCTACTGGTTTCCCTTCCGTGTGTGTGTTGTGTTCGCTTAACAGCTGCAGCGGTTTTCTGCCTCTGTCGCCTGATTCGTCACACATTCACAAACATATTGTTGGAGATCTAAAAGACACATCTCATATCAATTGCAGGGATTCCGATTGTATAAGTTAGCACTGCATCACAGCCACGTATGAAGAAATACATAGAAGAAAATACATTTATGCAAAGATTGCAACAACCTGGATTCGAACTCTGGCGAGCAAAACAGTAAAACTCATTAAGACGGTCGCGCTACGCGGTCCGCCACTTGTGCTTGGTAATTTAACAGACATTCAGTAATTTATTCACCAAGTCATTTAGGTTTAGGTTGAACTGAAACAACTGGTTTCCTGGGGCGTATCTTCGAACAAAACCTTATCAATGCTTTTTCGCGAGGCTTTGTCCATACACCACCGACGCATTTTGACAAAAACAAATGTACTTTTGTGACGATTATAAAGTGACGATCGTACTTTGAAAATACACTAAATAATTGCGAACTCTTGTTCGGTCGGTCAGGATACGTTTTGGGGCGCCATGCTTAAAAAATATATATTATGCACAATGTCACTACTTCAGCTCTCTTAGTTGTTAGAGGGTAGACTTCTAGCCACTTTGTGAAGTGGTCCACACACATACGTAACCATTGTTGGTGCATTTCAGCTTGCCAACTAGATCCATCCAGACTAGTCTGAAGGGCTCAGTCACCTTAGAATGCAAACCAAAGCTTACACCAACAAGACTTCATACAACATGTTAAATTTAATGTTTATTCACCTCTACGGGTTATACTGAATTTTCTCCATCATAGAGGTCCTGTTTTTCTGGCAGGCATCACATTGGGCAATCTGACCAACCGTGGCAAAGAATTTGTCAACAAAGTAAGTTGATTTCGGAGACAAGAGTTCGCAATTATTTTGTGTATTTTCAAAGTACGATCGTCACTGTATAATCCTCCAAAAATACATTTGTTTTCGTCAAAATGCGTTGGTGGTGTATGGTCGAAGCCCCGCGAAAAAGCATTGATAAATATGTTTGGAAGTGTTCGGAGAGATGCCGAAGGAAACCAGTTGTTTCAGTTCACCCTAAACCAAAACGTTCCCTGGGCAGTAACGAGGTATGAGCTAATGGATAAATATGTGAATGACATGCATCCGTCAGAGTAAATGGCAGACTGCGTAGTGCGACCGCTTTTGGGTTTGTTATTATTTTGCTGGCCAGAGTTCGAATCCAGGTTGTTGCAATCTTTGCATAAATGTATTTTCTTCTCAGTGCTAACTTATACAATCGTAATCCATGCAATTGATATGAGATGTGTCTTTTAGATCTCCAGCAATATGTTTGTGAATGTGCGACGAATCAGGTGACAGAGGCAGAAAACCGCTGCAGCTGTTAAGCGAACACAACACACGCACGGAAGGGAAACCAGGAGGGATGTAATACCGGTGCACACAGAAGCCTCCCGCAGCAGTCAGAGCAGAGAGGAGACGCACTCTCGGCAGATAGTGTATCTACAGGTGTTTGCTTCATTTTTACACAAAACAAATAATAACCGTAGCTGTGTTTCAGCTGAAGGACAGCAGTGATGGCCCAGGTATAAAATGCACAGCCCGCCACTGTAAGCAAGTATATATTTAACTGAAACCTAAGGGTTTCTTGCAGAGAGGGCTCTCTGTGCTCTGTAACCTGTTCTGTGTTGGTGGGAGTGATCCCATGACAACACATCAGTTCAGCGTTTTTTCTCTGACATGGAGTGATACTGAAAGTGCAAAGGAATTAGAGGCCATAGGTCTATGAACCAATCGGATTGCTTGATTTAAGCTGACCATGTCATAGTATATATATTATATTTCATTCGTCATGATTACAATGTATAGCTGGTGACAGAAATGCATTTGTCAGAAAAGCATCACTTTACCAGTGGCTCTGGGAGTGTTTAAATGACAGTCAAAAAACATTTGGTAACCATAACCACCCACACTGACAAATTGCCAAATATTATTTGTTATATTCATCTTCAAACAGCATGTCAAACTGACAAGGTTTCCAAAGCTCATCAGTTGTTTTCCAACAAAGCTGAAGGTATTTAAATTCAAGAACACTCAGTAAGTAGCTTGTAATAGGTTTCATTACCTATGGGCCAAAGAGTATGCATAATTGTTTGGAAAATGGATCTGTCAAGCGTGATATGTGCGCTCCTCCTCCTGTCATGCTGTCACAAACAGCCTCTTATCAAGCAGCCAGCCTGGGAGGGGAAGCATTCCACTGTAAATCTAGCTCTGTTTATCCTGAAACAAAGCTCAACTAAGAATAGAGGCCGTGACATGATTATGATGCTGTAGGGACCACAGTTTCCATGTCCCAGCTCACCCTCTCAGTTCATGATGGCCCCATTACTACATGTGAGACCACATTATTGGCTGCAAGGCAATAAAGCAATGAGGAAATTCTAAACCACAGAATCCGAGCTGTGATTGAAATTACTATTTGATGTTGTTATCTTAAAATCACGAGTTAATTATTTGGTTATCTCAAGAAAACAAGCATTGCACTCAACTCACTGAACTCGGCTGTTTGTGTTGCCCCTATCATCGGGAACGTTTCATGTTTGTTTGGTTTTATCTTCTTGGGGAAAAAAAAATTCAGGTCACAAATGTTAAAAACATAAAATTGTTAAAAAAAACCCAGTTAGCAATTATGTTTATCAGAGATCAGGACTGAGGCGCATGCGTAGATGGCTTCTTGACAACTGTAGCAACTGATTTAAGCACAACACGTCAGATCTACTCATTATTGATCAACGCATCAAACCATACTTCAGTCAAGGTCGAACATTCTGTCTCTCTGTTAAAGAGAACATTCCAATCAGTCCTTATTTGTTCTAAATGATCTCGTCATCTTGAGAAATCGGCCTTTTAGTTTTCTCCGGAATCAAGATAATTTAAAAGTCTATGACAAGAAAACAAGCATTGTTATATCGAGATAACAACAATAATTAACTTGTGATCTTGTGAAAATAATTGCAAGCGTGGCCATTCCTATCTTCTGTTTTAAACAGTGAGGTATCTCATCGTAACTAGACAAACTATTGTAGAATATGGCTGAGCACTAGGGGTAGTAAGAGGTCGTCCTCCAGTTTAAATGTGAGCATCAGTATTTTAAGCATATGGCAAAAACATGTGCTTATGTTTAACTGAGCCCTATAGTGGCTGTATTACTTATGTTTATTGGGAGCAAAAGAGGAAGTCATGTGACAGAACCAGAAAGTCCAGAGGGAGGAGGTTTGGGTTGTGGATAGTAGGCTGTTTATTCCCTTTTAATAACCTGCTTGTTTCTTAACCATTACCTAACCTTAGTTGCATTGTTATTATTGTAACCATGACGATGAATATCCCGTAACCTTAATCAAAGAGTAAGTTGAACCCAAACCATGATCTTTCCCTCAACCTAACCAAAGTGCATTTGTGTTTAAAGCTAACCAAACCATAACCAGCTGTGTAATTCTGGAAGGAATAGATCCACAACGTGTTTTGTTGTTCAATTGGGATGACTTGTTGGGTTGGCACTGCATGTTTACTAAGGTTTGTGATCAAATCCCCCCCCCCCCCCCCCCACACACACACACACACAGACAATAATTAAGGATACAAAAGATAAATACACAGATACACAAAATGAAAACAAAAAACGAAAAAAACAAAAACAGCAGGGATCACAGCGGCCGAGAAATTGATCTTCTGCAACTCGAAAGCAATTATTCTCCGCCCTAATGGAGATCCAACTGTATAAGTAATCCAAATAACCAAAACACAGTTCTGATTAATTTCATGTTCACACTGTCTTATCTGTGCAGGGTCAGCAACTTTCCATTGCGTAAAGAGAAAGTGTGATGGCACTCTCACTGATTTTCCTGCTATTAAAAGAGAGATGCACACTTTCTAAAATGCCACATTGCTGGGGACTAGCTTGGGAGAATAATAAAACCTACAATTCATAGCTGGTTAATTCAGTATCAATAGATTCATTCAAAAAATACAAATAAAACTAAAGGAGCTACAAGGAACACGAACATGTGAACTCCTCACAAGCATGCACTATCCAATTAATAAACGTGCATATTAAATATGAGCCTCCTTCACATAGATATGGAGGCAAATGGTGGATTTATCTAATCATATCAGAGGTGGATGACAGTGACTGTACTACAACTGACTTATAATACAATCTGTTACCTGACACACTCCACTGATGCACATGTCAAAAGCATCCGCCCGGCATCGTGTCCCATCCAGCACCTTGGGAGCCAGTTCAACAGTGAGACTCCTCCCTTTAGTCTGGCAGCGCAGTGCACAGGGTGCTGAGGGGTCATAAGGGGACGGAAACCACTCATAGGCGACACCCTGGTACTTGATGTCATTGTGGGCTGAACACTGCTGGGCCCGGAAATCACCTGACTCCGCTGGGCAATCCTGAGGAGAAGAACAACAAGGACAATTCATTTTAGTCCCACTTTATTAAATTGGCATTTAAAGGACGTTTTTAAACATGTAAAATGCTTAAAAATAATGATTAAATGTGACAGTTAATACATTTACATTGATGAATTAATGATTTTTCACCAACTGATTTTCCAAAAGGCTTTTATAATTTACTGTTGTTTCTCTCATATTCCATTTCACAGGTCATGTGTCTCCTATTATAACATTTACATTGTTTTGGTTTTACTTCAGCAAGTTGAATGTTTAAACTCAGTCTCACCGCTCTCAGCCACCTCGTTTCCCCAGCACGAAGAAGCTCTGATAAACCCACTGTATACCTGCCCACCAGCAAACAGCACCGGGACACAGCTAGACAGCTGCTGAACATAGGGGAGCATTTAGCATGTGCTTAATTGAGCGAGTCATTTTAAAACCTCTTAAACACCACCTGCCCACCGACAGCCTGGTTAAGCTTGTTCTAAGTGGATATCTTTATGTAAAGGTATAAATGTTTAAACTCTTGTCAATATGTACATCAGTTAATGGATTATCACCATGATTTCAGTTCAGCTTTTAATACTCTTCTCTATATATAAATGACATGCAGATCTATGACCGCAACTTAGGCTCTTTAAATTGACTGGTAATAAGGCAACGGTAGGTTTCATGTTTAAAGATAACAATGAATTAGAGGTTCCCTAGATAAATCTTATCAGCAATCTGTTAACATGGTGTTTAACATGGTTGTTTGCTCATAAATGTAAACAAGACTAAGGAACTCGCGTTCAACAATGCGTCAGTCAATTACAACTGAGGGCCAAGCTGTAGAGACGGTATGCAGTTTTAAATATTTAGTAATGATTTTAGACACCAACTTGAATTTGTAAGAACAATCAGACTACATTTTTAAGAAGGCGATGCAAATAAAATAGCTTCGATGTGAGCAAAGAAAAATACTGTTAGCAAGATTATGCAGAACCCTCAGAGAAAGCTGGTGGAGCTGTCACTACACAAACCAAGAGGAAAGCAACATTTATAGTTCAGGACCCTTCACTTCGTTTGTTTTATGAATTTGAAAAACTCCCATCAGGAAGACGATACAGGGAAGCAACAACAAACATCTTCAAGAGATCTTTTATCCCATCCTCTGTCATCTTACTAAACTAAATGAAAATGTTTTTATTAGATATTAGTGAGTGCTGCTGTTTTTTATCATATTGTAACTTACATCCAAACCCACGTATTACCTACTTCTTTTTATCTCATGGCAAAGTGTATACATGTCTGTAAAATATTTCAAGTGAGTGCATGTCTGTGAAGCCAACATTTGGACATTTATGTAACTGTATCTGCTGGCACATACACTGATTCCAATATATCTGAGACAAGCGGGGTCAGTTGTCTTCTACTAGAAATCTGAAAAAAGAGCTTCCAGGTTTTCCAGGATATGTTGGAACCCTGGTCAAGGTGTGCTGTTACAAATGCAATTTCTACGACAATTAGAACCACATTTTAGAGAAGGTAATGAAATATAGGATTATATTAAAATGTGTGTGGTTGAGAATGGACGGAGGAAATATACAGCATGTCTGACCATGCAGAGGAGGTAGTGGTGCAGAAAAGCTCTCAACATCTTTACACCTGGATGCCTTTGTGCACTGAGAGCTCTCTCAGATCAATACGGGATGCTTGTTCCTCTGGGTGACAACTGGCTGACTTTTGGCAGCCAATAAGTCTCTCTTCTTTCTGACTGAAAACTGGAAACATCTAGCCTGACACAGCTTCACTCAGCCTGTCTACATATCCTTCAGACGCCTGTATGGAGCCTATAAACACAGCCTTCAGTTCAGACAGTTAGCCTCCATGTGTGAATAGGGGAAAGGGGATAAATATTATCCTGGGAACATTTCCCACTAGATCTGATAGAAGCTCTACAATGAATCCAAACTAAACCACTTCCGTGGGGAAGAAGAGAAATAAGACTTGTCCTCCTCTGATTAAAAAACGGGTTAAGAAGGTTGTTTCAACAGGCTGGATGCTCTTCTGTGGTTTGGGAAAGTGAAGTCCTGTAAAACTACCATCATCAGATTGGTGGTGGTTGCTGGTCTCTCATGGATCCAATGACGATGTTGATATTACATGATGGACTGTCAAGGACTGGTGGAGGTATTATCATTAAACAGACTTTATTATAGCTAAATAATTGATGTGTCCTTTATTTCTCAACCTGGCACACAAAACGCATTACATTTTTGTGGTACACAAATCCTTTATCATTTTGGTTTAGAAACCAAAGTTAGAAATTACTGAAACTCAAAAGAGTTGAGATCTTTGGTTACCTTCTTTGCTTGGGACAGCAGAGGCACAAACATTTTGAGTGGCAGCCTAGTTAATGTTCACAACTAGCAGCTATAAAATATTGGCTACATACTGTATGTTTCTGACATATGAATATTAAAGTACCCTGACCCTTACTTCAAATACTGGAGGTCAGAAGATTTTAAATGATAAAGTTGGTAAGCATTAACTTAACTTAGAGATTCTAATTACTGAGAACTGAAGAGATGCCATCAGCTTCACAGGCGTCACTCCATATATCTAATTGAAAATCTAAAATACACAGTTCAATTGAAGACCAACTGAAATCAGACTGTGTCATTCCTTTTTGCAGTCAAAACTAATGTCAGCATGTTTTTTTTATTATCAAAAGGAAGAAAAATAAAAGCTCTGTGGTAAAATATCATAAATGCTTCCTTTGCTCTGAGCAGCTGGAGCAGCTGGCAGGCTGAGCCCCGGCAGGAGAACGAGACACAGTAAGAACACAGTTGTGCTGGAGCCGATATGTGTCGGTGAGACAGCGTGTTGTTACTGGTACTGAAGAGAAAGGACCACAGCAGCATCTAACTTGTGCTGTGTAGCAGGCTGCCGTTAGAGAATATTACTACGTTATGCAAATATTTTTAAATAAATTGGTTAGGTTTAAGGAAGCATTTTATTTTGGATACTCTGTTTAAGTTAGGGGTCCTTCGTCATCATGGTTACAATAAAAAACATGTTGATAAAGGGCAGGATCAAACTCGTCAAGTCCGTCTCGTAGACAAACTTTCTGTGAACTGGTCATTTACTGTGACTGAACCATGACACCGATTGTTCTAAGAAGTCAATGTTGACTTGCAGTATGGAGCGGGAATCGAACCGTCGTCTCTAATGTTAAAGTCTGTTGATCCATCCATCTACACCCAAACTCCTCCCTACACAGACTTTGTGGCTCTTTCATAACATCACCCGACGACCTCTTTTGCTCCCAAAAGCACAGAGTCAGAATTCCTAGGACCGCTGCAGTGTTGTCACTTGAACGTAAACATGTGTTGCTTTGGGGCTCTTGCTGAAACTGCCGATTCTGTCATTTCTATTGGGAGGGCATTCACATATCACCTTCAAAAAGGTGTGAATGTAAGATTTACAGCTGAGAATTCAACACTTTCAGATATAGTTTTCCTTTTCAAGTTAACATGAAAGGTATTTTTATTATTATTTATTCATAGTCTTTTAATTTAGTAACTACATTAAAAATAAGGTAAAGTCCAGACTCACCATGTTGCTACATGTTCTGTAGCGGATGTTTTTGCCGTCACAGCTTCTGCAAAGGAAGGTAAAAGAAACATTGTCATCACTATTGCAAATACAGGCGACTCAGTGATACACAAGCTTTAAGAAAAGACAACACTACATGCACATAGTTGTTGATCAGAAGCTTTAATGAGAATTAATTCCACTGATAGAGCAACTCGTCTATATTTGCCAGACTTTAGTATAACAGAGATTACTTTTATGAATAAATAGATGTTTTTAAGCTGTAGCAATTGTTCTTTCTAAATTCCTTCTGTAACAGTTCCCCAGTTACTGGGATTTTGTTAAGAGCAAGAAAATTATCTGTTATTTTCTGATAATTATTAGCTCAGCCTGTTATGAACAGTGAACATAACTCTGATAACTCTTGACAGAGAGGTGTGTGAATAAACAGGAAATACACATTGCTGTTGAGACTACTGAGGTTGGTCACACACACATACACTCACACACACCTGTAAGGTCACATCACACTCCACCTGCAGCATACATCACCTAGACAGCAGCCATCTCAGCATTTTACTGAGCTCCAGCTGGCAGAGCTCAAAATGTCACGCAAAGCTGAACCCACAGATATGCACACGCACGCACACACACACACACACACACACACACACACACACACACAGAGCTTCAGAATGAACCTCAGCCCTGTGTGAAATGTGGCATAGCAGAACTCTTCTTTCCCCGTGACAGCAGGGACACGCTGTTAAATCCGTTCCACCTTGTTAGCAACAATAACACCCAATCTCTCGTGTGTGCTAACTGCCACTAAAGAGCACATTTCTCCTGCTGCCTTACAATAACTTGAGGCTAAACTGCCATTTTGGGGAGAACCACACAACAGCCTTTCAGTCACCTCCAAGTTCAACCAAACACAGACCACAGAGAGCCACGGCTCCATATTAATGAACCAACTACAACACAACTGCTCAAACTGTTTGTGTGTCTGGGAATGTCTACAGCTATGGCCATACGTCTTCTACTAAACTCACAACACTGACATGACAACTGCACAGGTCTGTTTTTCAGGACAGGGCACAAATACTGTGTCACACAGTACAATGCAAAAAAGAAAACATGTGAACAATGTTAGAGAAATGCTGTAGAAGCATGTTTTCTTTATCTCAGTAAACAACTGCAACAATACAGTGAAACTCTTCATCCTTGTCAGATTAGCTCAAGTACTGGACATGTTCCAAATGTATTATTTTGTGAATTAGTCAGTTAGAGAATTAGTTAATGAATCTAGTGGTTCTGAAATTGCCTTTGACTAGGTATATTAAGGCGTTGGCCCTACATCTGTCACAAATTCCCCTTCATATTAGTTTGTTTTCATCCTGTCTGCTTATTTTACCAACTCTCCTGTCATTTCAGATCCTACCATTCACACCCAATCATCTCTCATTCCCCTCATCTGGTCCTCCACACCCATCTCACCTGCAGCCCATTCCCTCATTAGCCCTCACTATTTAGGTCCCCTCACTTGCACTTGTTCCCTGCCAGATTGTCTTGTGTGTTTTTGCCAAGTTCTCCAGCGTACCTTTATATTGTTCATGATCTGCCTGTTCCGACCCTGTTTGCCTGTTTTCGACCTTGGATTTTTGCCTGCCCCTTATTGGATTTGTTCGCCTGTTTTGACTGACCTCCCGGTTTTGACCCTGCCTGAACTCTAGTAAAATAACTGAACTTATATTTTTTCTCTGAGTTGTGCTTTTGGGTTCTAGTATCTGTAATCCTTACAACATCAGCCAGTCTCATCCACTGTGTGGGAGATAGCCCCATAGAAAAGCTCCGGGAAGTGGTTGTGCCACTCGGAGAATACATCTGCAAAATCAACCAGTTAATCCAGTTTTGCACAACTAAAATGAAATACGGTTTGAAAACCATTTTAATAAAGCATATATTGTGTCCCTTACTGAAGTCTGTTTTCCAGTGTGGAATGAGCCCATTGCTTACCCTTGTAGCTGTTGAGGGAAAGAATACCCATTATTAGGATCGTGGTTCTGACCAGCCGTCAAGTACCAATGGGCATATGACGGACCACAGTCTTGCATAATCATGAGCCTGCTAGCCAGGCGTCCAAGAGACCAGGAACAGAAAAGGATTGGAAGAAATAACGGAGGAGCAAGGATCAGTTGGGTAAGAAGATCAAACCGCTTGAGGCTATCGTTTGTTCCAGGCTCCTACCGGCCTAAAGTGAGGTAAAGTAAGTCACAGCATGATGTCTAATTGAGTATAATTCTAGTATTTTATTTTAAATACCTCTGTGTGTTGCAGTCCTTCATAATAATGCAGGACACACCTCATCATCCTTTTTTGTAATGACATAAAGCACAAGAAACATTACATTCCTGTAAAGCGGATTCTTTAAAATTGTAGTTTTTTACAGAAAAAAGGAAAGGATAATAATTTACTGTTCACCAATGATAGATATTAAAAGCATTCTGAATATGCGAGTTATGCCTTTGATAGTGAAATGACAGAGCGTTCTATCATCTTTCACCAAGAAATGTACAGCTGGCATAATGAAAAGTGACGATAACAACTAGTGTCAGGTGTCTTTTAGAGCCCAGTTGAAAAGTGAAAGATAATGACAATTTGTCAGGAGACAGGCGCAGAGATGAAAGGTAATGAACTGAATATATCAACAGAAACACGTTTTTCGTAATACATTCAAGACTGGCTGGCTGCAATTCAGTTCACAATTCAGGCATTGATAAACTATGCTTTTGAACCACTGCTATTGCCATATTCTCCACAGCAGAGGAAGACCAGAGGGAAGAAGCACAGAGGCCTCAATCCTATTAGGAGCACTACAAACAATGAGGCAGCATACTGGACCAAAGTGGGAGGAGTTAACTCAATGTGAACTGCTTTAGGAACATTCACAGGGAGATGTCAGGTCATGGAAGTTTTGTTGCTTACATAAAAACAAGGCATAGTGAAACACTTGGGAACTAATTTTTTTTAATTTTCAAAAAAAGAAAAGAATGAATACACGTGTAGGTATTCCATATTTAAGCAATAGGCCATGAGAGATTTACAGTTGTTTTTACAACAGCTAAGGGGAGCTTATCCCCTTATCCTAGTTGGCCAACCCAGTAAATCACAATTCATAACCAAATCTGACATCTCCTGGCTATATCAACATAGCCAGGAGAAGCTCTGATAACAACACACACACACAGATGGAGAGTGACTTCATTCTGTGGTCAAGTTGACTAGTAATGTTTACATAGCACATAGTGGTTTGTAGCTATAGAAATGTTGAGAATGTTAAATACAGCTCCTTTAAAAGTAATATAAATATTTTAGTTGAGTATTCTTGACTCTATTTGTACTGTGAAAACGACATACCTACTAAAAGCTACTTAATCAATGATGTGTATTTAACTTAGAAAATTAGGTTAGTGTCATTAAGGATGTTTATTCAACTTACAAAAATGAGTTGGTGAAACTTAAAATTGTCAATGTAATCAATTTCAACTGTTTTGTTGGAGTTATATTAACTTATAAGGATTTACAGTATACTTTATAATGTTTTATGGTGTCTCCCTCTGTGCTCTGGAGCGGGCTTTCCAAAGTTGGAACTGATAACAATAACCCTGTTGATGCCCCACAGGGTATCTCATCTTGGGCTTATTTTCAAAAGCCTGGGTTTGGTAAGTGTTTTTGGATGCTATCAAGTTGCATTGTGGGAAGTCTTTTCCCCCTCTGCTTCATAACTTTTGTCCGGTCTTGCGAGTCCCCCTGCTTTAGTAAACAGCTATACTAAATCATAGGAATACCCCCCCAACTCGGCGGATACAAAAATATCCGCCGAGTTACAGACGTCTCTTTCCCAATATACAGTACGTCAATGGGAAAACGTCATTTTGGTCCACATGGCGTCACATGACCTGGCCTTAGCCGACATGTTTTTCAGTAGCTCTACACCCCATAGGAGAAAACCTTTCCCCCACAGGAAACATTCAATGGAGCAACACGGGCCCAACGATGACGACACACAACCATAAAACCCCCTCCAGACAACCCAAAGGCTAGTTTGCGTTACCTCCTATTCATCTTTTTTTCACAACTATGAATTTCAACTCACAACCACAAGGTGCGAATTAACAAGCTTCAGCACTGCTGTGTGTATTTACTGCATATGCCATTTGTTTGTGTGCAGTAGAAAAGTTCTCACTTCAGAAGGAGAAATTTCAGCAGCAGCATGGGTGAGAAAGTGAGACTGCAGTCAGATAAAATGGAGACAAATGTGTTGCCAGGAGGCGATAGAATAATGCCACGGGGCACAGTCTGAAATAGATTGCCTGTGATGACTTCCTGAACAAGCAACACTGTACAGCACCGCTGAGCAGAGACAGGCTGACAATGAAAGTAGACAGTCTGAATGTGGCTTTTAAAAACAGCAGCGATTTGAAAACCCACCCATTCGACACTTTTATCAGTGTGAGGAAGATACAGGACACACAACCGACCCAGACACTGTCTCCTTGACTTTCTATAGCATCCGCTCCACACCGACCGTAGAGATTGTCTGGACCTTGTCTGAGTTTCCAGCTCCTTCTTTCCCTCTCTTCAATGAAGCTTCTTTTTAGTGATGTTACTGTGTTCCCAGATCCCAGCAATTACTTTGATGCTATCATAACTGATGAAAACCATGGTGAAAACTACATACTATGGTGTTTTTAATAATAATAATAATAATAATAATAATAATACATTTCGTTTTTATAGCGCTTTAAAAGACACTTTACATGTTAAAAAACAGAAACAATAGAAGCAACTAGAAAATGCATTTGCTGAAAATACAGAAATGGGAGACCACCTGTCTGAAAAATACTGAAGGCCAAAAGCATTAAACTGCACTGCTGAAAACCCTTCTAGTTGAAATGTATAACTGTAATGTATGGCAGTTGGAAGCTAAACTGTATTATTGAACGAAGCTAAGAGCTGAATTACAATGCAGGAAAAGCTTGAAGCTAAACAATTTTACTGTCAAAGTAATAGTAGTAAAAGTAGTATTAGTAGTGGTAGTACTAGTAATAGTAGTAGGAGTAGAAGTAATAGTAGCAATAGCAGTAGTAGTGATCATAGTAGTAGTTAAAATAACAGTAGTAGAAATATTATTATTAGCAGTAATAGTAGTATTGTTAGTAGCAGAAATAACAGCAGTAGTAGTAGTAGTCATAGTCATAGTAATAGCTGTAGTAGTGGTCGTAGTAGTAGTTCATATAAAAGTAGTATTTGTAGAAGTAGTAGTAGTCGTTTTTGAGTGTTGGTTGTGCTGAAATAAAAGATAAATGCCTCGAGTGTTTTCTCGCCATTTTTGTGATTCTTTTCTTGTACATTTGTCACTTTAACATATATATAACATATAATTAAGTTTTCACATTTTCTGAGGGTCATTAAGGACACAACATACTCACGAAACAGCTTGTTCTCCCTGCTCCCCTCAGGTAGGAGGTACAGGACCCCAAAAACACACACCAGCAGACTGAGGAACAGTAAATCAAGTGCCCAGTCTTGCTCTCATCCCAACATCAGGTCTTCAGCCAACTCCCATCACCAGAGTCTAGACTCCGGGGGCAAGTTTTCCTGAACTAACCTTGCCATTACTACCCCATTTAACCGTCTGATCCCCAAATCCCACCGGTGGGATGAAAAAGCATGTTTTCTTTAAACAATCGACAAAACTACACCGTCTATCACAGCTAGAAGCTGTAAAACGTCATTATTGTCAGATTTTAATCATTCCCGATGGTCCTTGAAAACATCATGTGTGCTAATTTTGTGATATTTCATCAAAAACATTTTATTCTACATGTCTTATTTAAAATCTTGCCCCAAATAAACCGTATACTCTCAACACATCCTGTAAAAAACATAAAATTCTGAAACTGCAGGTTGCTGAGCACAGTGCATTGAGGAGAGGAGAGGCTGGAAGTAGAGGTTGTAAAAGTGTGAACTTTCATAGCATGTAAAGCCTTTTTTAAAGCATTTTTTGAGACATTGGTAACACTTGTAGACACTTAGCAAAAAGTTTTTCTTTTTTATGATTCATGGCATTGTAAATTTGTTATTCTGCACAAAAGACAAACGTTTGAGTTCTCTCTACTTCTGGCCATGATTGTGCTGTTTCCATAGAGGTGCAGGACTTTTAATTTGAAGTGAAAACTAAGGCCACAGAGAGAAAAATGTGACTGGAGCAAAAACCACCCCAAAACAGCTTGGGGTTCAGAGACGACCTCAGAGTGCAGTCTAATCACCAAAGACTCTTCACTATTCATTTCTTGCGCACCATGTGCATCACCAGTGATCTAATGACGTTGAAAGGTGTGTAGTGTGAATTTGGCATTAATCTATTAAAGTACAACTGCGATAAGATAATAAGATGGATGTTTACAACCAACGTTTGGCTGAATACTTTTCCCATTTATCTTAGTTTTTCCTCTAAATAAGTATGACAAACCTGGAGGTTTGTTTACAACCTGATCTCAGCAATTAACTTTGTAAGAACAATATTATTATTACAGATTGGAATGATGGCCAAACATATATTAATAACAGGTAAGCTTTGATAAATTGAAATTGTGCCTTTAGCTTTCAGACATCTGTCTATTTGTTTTGTGAACTGATGTAATACCAAAATACTCTTTCTACCAATACTTACTGTACTGACTATTAGTATGTTTTTTTGGCATCAGTGAGCTATATTCATGGTCACCAAGATCTATGCTTTCATCCTCCTGGGACACCAGACAGGATAACATGATACATCTATAATGAGTCTACAGATGAGGTGAAGGGACAGGAAACATCTGCTCAACAGATACCCAACAATTAAGCAGGATCATTTGTGGTATTCAAAATGTAATGTCTCGCTTGAGTAGATTGGCAACTCTGACCATAATAGTTTTAGTCATTCAACAGTCTCATGAACACCCCAGCAATGGGCAGCAGCTTTGTACAGGGATCACATGCTGGATACATTTTTTTTTTTTTTTTTGATGTTCAAATTTCTGCAACACGGTCACCATATTTCAAAAATGCTTTGAAATTGTGTCTTTTGAGATGTGAAATAAGGCTTACCCTCCATTGAGACAGCGTCTTAGAGAGTAGGAAGCTCCTCCTCCACAGGTGCGAGAGCACTCACTCCAGGAGCCCCAGGCATCCCACCCAATGTCCCTGGCTTCATCTGAGCGGGTCATCCTGGAGGCCTACAGAAAGAACCAACACAAAGATCACCCATTTCCATCAGTTTAGATATTCACATGCTTTTACACCGAGCATATTCTGACAAGTATATATGAACTCTGACACGTATCACATTTTCCACAAGAATTACTGTACTGAAAATTAGAAAAGAGCTTTCTTAATTTAACTTTTAAACACTAGCCCTATTTTTAGGCCTCTGCTCGAAAATTGCATACCCATACTAAAGAGAGTGTAGATCTCTAACTACAAGGTCTATTTTAATAATTTTGATGGTTAAATACAGGCAAAACCTGTGAGACACTTGTTCAGATGTGTAAATATTGTGTATATGTTACTGGTTAATAGTGAATGAAGATGGAACACAGCTCAAATTGAAAAGTTTCAGGTTCGCCTGAAAAAAAAGCACTTGTATTGAAGATATTTATTTGAAATAATGCAGATACAAGCCTAAAAATACGGCACAATCACAGCACAACATGTTTTACATGTCTCCACAAACAACTTTTACTTCGATTGAGTGAAGCAGGCCAGCATAATAGAGGTTTGAGTACGGACAGTGAAGCCAAATTCTCATTTTTGGAACCAGCTGTTGCGCTGGTTTTTATATAATTATATATATTTTATATACTATTTAACTATATATTTCACTTGTTGTATCACTACTAGTGTTCAATACATCCTAATACAGCAGTTTGGCATCATTTTGAGATCTCATATCTCTCCTCCATGGAATTTTCTCATCTCAGTCTGAGTCGATGGAGACCTTTTTAAGGCCTGTGATTGCCAGATGTCATCATGTGACACCTTGTTCAATGCGGAAGAGACTCAGGCAAGCAGTAGGCGGGTTATTTAGTAGATAATAGTAGAAAATAGGAAAATTGGCTTCCCTTGGGTCAGTGACGTCACCGCAGACCCTACAGTGCCAAAGAAAAAGGAATCTCATACCGAGGCTGCAAGTGTGTGTGTGTGTGTGTGTGTGTGTGTGTGTGTGTGTGTGTGTGTGTATAGTAAGAGGAAAAGGGAAGGATAATTGAGTATTTATGGAAAATAAGTCAGAGAACCAAAGAACCAAGTTTTCTAAAGTGCTTTGAAATTGTGCCCTTCGACCTGTGCGTCATTGGACCGATAGTCATAACACGTATTTATTCAATACAGAAAACAGTTTTTCCTGGAGAAGTGGTAGCACAGGCCCTCTACCAAAACATTCCTTGCCATGTCAGTGAAACCCAAAGCACAGGAACTAACTCTAATTCCTCTGACACTGTTATTTATGCCTGGTCAACCAGAATTAACATTTCTGACATGCCTCCACAGGTTCCATTTCACCCTGCCTCCCAGGCCCGGATCACTGGCTGACCTTGGAGCTGGCTGAGTGAAACACCTCTCAGTCTTCAAACTTCTTATGTCGTGCCCCCATAGATGGGATCAATTTGTGTGTATTGGACTGTTGTACTGCGGTGGGACTCAGAATTCTCCCACTTTCCTTTCCCCGCTGCATCCAAAGAGACAGACTGATCCGCTAGAGAGGAATTAGACATGTTAGCACTCCGTTATAGGATAAAACCACCTTTTGTTGTCAGGCTCAGCCGGCTAACAGCCATCACAGACCTCCAACAGTAATAACATAGGCATGAGGAGAATCTGTCCAGCCAAGGCTTTTATTCTATTGTGTTAGCTCTGCTTAGTTCAGTATCAGTGTCCACTGACAACCAAGATGACTTGGATTTGTATTTCTCAATTAACATGATTAGGACTCAACACTAAGATAGTACCCGGAAGAAAACACACTGGGCTACCAGCGATTCATTTCAACATGGATAACTAATTGCAAGCATTGCTGCTAGCACAACAGCTACATGATGTTGCTGCTAGCTAAAAGTAAAGTCTGCATTTCTGTGGAGGAAGCAGCTGTTATTGGAGTGATTAGCGAGCGGCGTGACCGGCATCAGCCCTATGGAGCAGCTCGTTGTTTTTAGATTCCAATGATAAGACACGCTGCACTAACGTTTTACTTCTTCCGTTTGGTAGCATTGATAGACCTTAGTCTGCAAGTATGTCTTTATGAAGCATGAAAAGATGTACGTAGATATATTCTATTCGCGTGTTTAGTATAACATTTGTGTTGTATTAAATGCTAATCGCGGTTAGCATTTCTCCATTGGCGGTAATGTTACAATTAGCTTAGAAGCTAGCTAGGCGGACATGTTACATGCTGGCTATATAATGGATTGTTGTTTTGTATTCATGTAATGTGTATAGGGACAGTTTGTAAAGCCATATTTCATATTGTGTTTCCACAGTTTTACAAATAAGAAAGATTCACACTGAAGTCTTGAAACTCTTCTATGGATTCCATGGTCTTTATTTCACGGATCTACTGTTAGCGATCTGCTAAGCTTTCCTGCACGAAGCAAGAGCAGAATAGAGTGAGAGACGTGTGTTGATCACATTTATGGACCCATATTCTAGTAAACGTTTACGTGTAAGTGTTGATTTTAAAGTAAATTTGATGTGAGAGAGAGATAGACCCGCAGCGCTGTAATGCTAATCGCGGTTAGCATTTCTCCATTGGCGGTAATGTTAAAATTAGCTTAGAAGCTTGTTAGGCGGACATGACGTTCAGAGCTACTGGTGAGAACAGACATCAACAACACGGAGGAAACGAGTGAGAGACCACATTGATGGACCCATAATCTAGTAAACGTTTATGTGTAAGTGTTGATGTTAAAGTAAATTTGGAGAGAGAGAGAGCGAGAGACCTGCAGCGCTGTAACTACGTCTGAAAAATAAAACTTTCCACGAACTGTGTCTGTTTGAGTTTATAGAGGAAGCTCTTAAGTATCAAATACAACCTTTCATTATTAAAGACTACTTTATTACTCTGTCGTATTTTTTTTTTTTTAACTAAGCAAGCAATCCACTTCCTGTTTACACCGTCACGCGCATGCCCAGTGTACATTAATGGTCACGTGCTGTCCACCTTGGAAGGCTGCCACGTGGACGCAGATCAACTCGAGAATGATGCTGAAACTCCCGTGTGGACGGAGATCGTTTCTATTTGACAAATCTGCATCCAAGGAGAAACGGAGTAGTGTGGACAGGGCATAATAAGACACCAAACCTAATGGTTTATTAGAAGGTGAGACATCTTGTATTACAGGGGTTCCTCACCTGCTTATTGGCACTCCCAGTGGGGTAGCACGCTGAATTGAAGGGGTTGTGATATGATTCATTAGATAAGAAATAAAAAAGGCAACTGAATTCTGCTACACATACAGTACTGTATGTTATAGTTTTTTTTATTGGGACTGACTAGATTATGTAACTACAAAACCAAACTTTTCAAATGACATAATCTGAAATGTTCTGTTGAAGTACACATATGCAACTTGTGAAAAAGGTGAACATGTAGTATCTGCAGATTAAGGAGAGACAACCCAGGCGAATAAAAAAAATCCATTTAAAATGAATATGTTCTATAAATCAGGCTATGAATGATATATGAACTGTAATGAATCTGTAAAGACCTTCAGATAAAGAGAGGAATGAAACGTGTGGTGAATGTAAGTGCTACTCACTAATCACCATGAGACCTCTCCAATAATTACATATTTTAAGAAAAGATTTTCTTTAAATACAAAGATTTTGCGTTAAACATTTTCTGAAATTGTATATTTAAACATATGCATGGCAATTCCATACCTAATATGTTATGATCCATAAAATCTAGGCAATATACAAGATAAATAATTCCTTTTTCGTTATCTTCGCCGCCATCTCGACTGTACAGGAGGGGGAGACACCTGGCAGAAGAGATATTAGGGCACCTTTCTAGTTTATAATTCACTCACAACTTACAAAATCCTTTATAAAAGGTTTTGCTTGCTAGAACGTGGCAACATTTAATTTTGGGTCTTCGGCTAAATCTTTAGTCACACATTTGGGGAATTCACACAGTTAATGTAAAGTGCTACAGATTGGTACAGTGAGAGTTGGTTATAGTTATATATAGATTTTAAATGAGTGTAGATTCAAACAAGTTGTCTTGGATTTGTTGAGGATGCAAGCTTGTAATTGTTTTCCCTTTCTCTGACTTGTCAGCCACTGTTGGGTGAATCCATCAGCCATTTATTGATCCGTTCAGTCATCCCTTCATTTATTGATTCAATGGTTTTATTTATTGATTCTTTTATTCCTTTCTTTTCCTCCAAAAATCCCAAATTGCATCATAGATTTTCCTCTTTGTCTGAGAACTATAAAACATGTACAAGCATAAATCCTATTAGGTTGCTACACACTTGATCTCCTGCCGAGTTTCAGAGCTTGTAAACAGACTTGCATCATTTTGTGGAAGCTCAACCAGAGTGAAAACAGCCAGCAGCATTAATCTCAGTTTGTGTACTGATATGGGAGTGTGTCTGATGGGATTAGAAAAAAAACTGCCTGCCTCCTTATGTGTATGCGAGTGTTGAATGCAGGATACAGTCTACTAGTTATGAAGTATGTTTAATGTATGCTCGACTGGCTTACTTCACTGGCGATGATTGCATTCTATGCCCATTTTGATTAAATTCTCGATCCATATTGTCAGTGCAAACTATCATACAAGCCATGTACAAGGAAGGTTAATTAACCTTCCTTGTACAGGCAGGGGCCTGCAATTCAACTATGTCTGCTAGAAAGTTCATATGAAACTAATCCGCACTAGCGAGTGTCAACATTTACAGTTCATCGCAAAGTGCAGGCCTATTTGAATCCCATCTTATACTTATATACTATGTATATAGTCTGTGTTGAATTTTAAAGGACCACAAATCACGGATGTATTTTTTTCCAAACAAAATACTTGCAAGACAGTTCCAAGCAGCTATTGGTTTCCATTCATTGTTGTAGAATATCGGCATATCATTACACTTCATCACGTCTTGCCCTCTCTGATGACAGGCTTTTCACCCCACCTTTGAAACAAACTAACACATTTGATTTCCGAAACCTTGACTAA